AACAGCAAAGGTAAAAACAAACGCGCGGTTCCCCCAGTTGCGCTCCCTGGGTGTCAAGCAAAAGCAAAAGCAAAGGCAAAAGTGAAGGCACAAGCGAAGGCAAAGCAAAAGCATAGCATAGCATGGCATAGCATAACATAGCATATCATAGCATAGCATTGCGCAGCATAGCATAGCATAGCAGAGCAGAGCAGAGCAGAGCAGAGCATAGCGCAGCACAGCATCCACAGCAGGAGGAGGACGGCGTCTACCGCTCCTACTAATGTTGCTTTCCTGGAGGCTCCAATTCCTACGTAGGGTCGCACTGGGATAATTCTAGCATGCATGCGCGACAACGTGCGAATGTGGGCGTTGTTTGTTGTGTTACTAAAACATGATTGGGAACGGTTGACTCGTCATAAACGCACGCGCGCGTACCACTATTTGATGAGGGCGAGGGGGAGGGGGGAGGCGATGCCAGGCCCCCTGGGATTGGATGGGTACGAAGCAAAACAACATGTAAACTGATTCTCCCAAGGGGAGGGGGCCATGCTGGGTTTAGTTGGCATTGTGCGACCTTTTACTTAGAACGAGCGATGATGCAGAATCGCATGCAAAGTGCCTAGCCCCAGGGGGCACCGCTACTTCCAAAGGGGGAGGGTGGGTGGTGGATTCGAGTATACTTCAGGATAATATATGTTGTGGATATATGTGGTGCGATCGACGTGGTGCAATTTGCGTGGTGCAATCTACGTTGTGCAATCCGCGCGGAGCCATCTATGCGGCGTCGCCCGCCCGCAACCTGGCTTGCAAAAGTCCCACGCTGCGGCGACTGCAATGACTGCTTGGCGCTGGCTGGGGCAGCGATGCGGGCGGCGCGCTGGCGCGCGCGCGGGCTCGCGTGCAAAGCGGCCAGCTAGTCTTGCGCGACCCATGCGGCCGCGGAGCTGACCGACATGGCACCCCCAACGCGTCTCGCAGGCCGCGGTGACGCGCGCGCGCTTCAGTGCGAGCGGGCGAGTCAGGCGGGGGCGGCATCGCGGCGCCGTCGACAGCGGTTGACAGGATGATGGTAGCAGCGATGCTGAGGACGATGATGGCGACGACGACGGCAAGGCCAATTACGGCGCCGATGCTGGTCACGCCGACGACGACGATGGCGCCCACGCGTCGGCGATGACGGCTTTGGAAAGATCTCGACACGCGCGCGCGCGGGCGACGCGGGCGAGTAGCTCACATGGCATTCGTTGACACGGAAAGCGCTGTCGAACGATTAGGACATGCTCGCGCGAGAGGCATGCCTGGGTGCATTGTATGTCAATGCTGAAAAGTCTGTGGTTTTCATACGAATTCGCAAGAGCACGCCCATCTCTAACATGTATCATAACCACTGAGTTGTATATGTTTTAAAAGGACCTTGACCATGCAATCTCTGCGAAAACCCGACGTCTGCTTTACAAAATTGTGGCATGCGCGCGCGCGACGCAACGCGCGTGTACTGGGCGCCATTTTGCCGGGGGCCATTGGGAACCGCACTGCTGGTTCCCCATAAACGAATGCGCGCGCGTACATCGATGTGACTGAAATGAAAAGAGGGGGGGCGATGCCGGGCCCCCCATGGGGTCGCGTGAACTCGTATGTGGAATGCATCATGGGGCAGACTCGCATATGAGTTGCACCGTCCTTAGAGAACCGCTATTTCTGGTGGGTAAATCATAATTTGCGCTTAGAAAAGGGCACTCACCTTGGCGCACTCGAAGTTATCAACTCTGCAAGTCGCCTCGTCAATCATCTCACCCGCCCGCCCGCAAGTTGGCTTGCAAATCTAATGCGGCGGCGATTGCGATGATTGCTTGTTGCTGGCTGGCACGTCGCTGCGGCCGCGCAGGCGCGAGCAGGCTCAAGCGCAGAGCGGCCAACTAGTTAGTATGGCGCGACTGGCGAGGCCGCCGTGACGGTGACCGCTGGGGCTTTCCCAACGCGCCTCGCAGGCCGCGCTAACGCGCGTGCGCTTCAGTGCGAGTCGGCGACTCGGGCGGGCGCGGTATCGCGGCGACGTCGACAAAAGCAGAAACAATGATGATAGTAGCGGCGAGGATGGCGATGATGGCGGTGACGACGGGAAGGCCGGCAACGTCGATGACGATGATGGTGTCCACGCGTTGCCAGATGAAGGTTTTGAACGGGTTTCGGCACGCGCGCGCGGAACCGCCGCGCGCGCGCGCCAGGGGCCCGCTCGGTCGCAGCCCATGATGATGTGAAGAACCGATGGCGTTCTTAAGAATCCGCAAGAGCGCGTGTGCAACGGATTTCAAGCACCCACCATGTAAAACAATGTGTTTCACATGCCGGGCAAGTCGATCTTGAAATCCATGCGACATTTCATGCGTTTGAAGAATTTTCATAACTGCAAGGGGTTCTCAGGAATCTGTAATTTTCGACAAACGAACGCGCGCCCATAGTGTCATTCGTTAAGGATGAGTAGGGGGGGGGCGACAACGGCGCTGCTTGGGATGGTGCGACCGCAAATCTAAAGTGATGGTGGGTCCCGAACCATGCGTGAACTGCACCGTCCCAGGGGGTAACGATAATTCCGCCCTCGGAAGAGTGGTGGAGTCAAACTATTTTTGCAAAACGGAAAAATATGTGGTGAAATTCGAGCTGGGAAAATTGAAGTTGTCAACTCCATTGCTCGGGCAGGCATCCCAGCCACGCACCCGCAATTTTGGTTCCAAAGCCCATGCGGCGGCGATTGCGATGACTACTCAGCGCTGGCTGGCGCATCGTTGCGGCCGCGCTGGCGCGCGCTGGCTCGAGCGCGGAGCAGCCAGCGAATTTGGCGCGACTGGCGCGGCCGCGGTGACGGTGACCGCTGGGGCCTTCCCAGCGCACCTCGCAGGCCGCGCTGGCGCGTTTGCGCTTCAGTGCGAGTCGGTGACTCGGGCACGCGCAGCATCATGGGATCGTTGAAAGCGGGCGGCGATGCTGACGATGACGACTATGACGACAGCAAGGCCAATGACGGCGCCGATGCTGGTCACGCCGATGGCGGGGATACTGTCCACGTGCCAGTGAGGAACAGGTTGGAACGGCCGGCGCGGCGGAAGAATTCCAACATGCGCGCGCGACGGCGCGCGCGTGGACCTGGTCCCGTTCGTTTGGTGTGTAAACCATGATTGGGCACTTATGACTTGGGATAACGAAATGCGCGCTCTTAGTTTTATCTGACAGGGATCACTGGGTGGGTGCCGATACCCGCCTGCCTGGGACGGTTGGAGTTCGTGCCTAAAACGAACGATGGGCATAATCATGTTCAGAACCCTTGTCCCAAAGCGAAACGATAAAGCTGGGAGGAGTACGTCCCATTTTTTTCCACCCAAAACAGAAGAGGTCTATGTTGTGCAAACCATGTGGTGCAACTCGTGCACGTTGTACAATTTAGGCGGCGACGGGGCAGCGACGGCGAACACGGAACCGCCAGACCCAGGCGACGGGCGGCTGCGGGCGGTGACGAGGCGGCGGCGGCGGCCATCAAACGACGGAACAGGCAACCAGGCCCAAGCAAAGGGCGGCGACGGGGCGGCGACGGCGGCAACCAGGTCCAAGCAACGGGCGGCGACGGGCGGCGACGAGGCGGCGACGTCGGGAATCATGCCCAGGCGACGGGCGGCGACGGGCGGCGACGAGGCGGCGATGTCCGTAACCAGGCCCAGGCGACGGGCGACGACGGGCGGCGATGAGGCGGCGACGGGCGGCGACGGGGCGGCGACCAGGCACAGGCGACGGGCGACGACGGGCGGCGACGTGGAGCGCTGTAACCAGGCCCAAGCGACGGGCGGCGACGGGCGACGATGAGGCGGCGACGGCGGCAACCAAGCCCAGGCGACGAACGGCGACGGGCGGCGACGAGGCGGCGACGTCGGCAACCAGGCCCAGGCGACGGGCGGCGACGAGACGGCAACCAGGCCCAAACGACGGGCGGCTCGCTTGGATGCGAGTGGAAGGGCATGGGGCAGCGCTTGAAGGAAGAGGGGATGGAGGAGGACCAAGGTGATCAATCGGGACAGGGACGAGGAGAAGGAAGTGGGGGGATCGAAGTCGGAGGCAGGGAATTGTTGTGCCAACCATGGGTTGCGCCGTAGGTTGCGCTATGGGTGGCACTATCCTTGGGTTGCGCCATACGTTGCCCACATGGATTGCGCCATACGCCACGCCATAGGTTGCGCCATCCATGCTTTGTATTTTGCGCCATCCATGGCCCCTCAGTGTCTGCCTCCGGTGGCAAAACAGAACGGTCTGATATTGCTTGCGCCACACATTGCACCCTCGTTGGCCAAACATCAAACGGCCTGCTATTGCGTGCCCCCTCGGCGGCCACAAATCAGACGGCCTGCCATCGGTTGCCCCATAGGTTGCTCCCATGCGGCCGAACATATAACTGTCTGCTGACGGGTGCGACCAGCCAGCAAGTGCACCTCAAGGAAGACAAGTCGGGCTACACTTGAAATGAAGAGGATGGGAAGGCAATCAGGGACTCGGGGCTGAACGGGATCGGGTCAGGGAGAAGGTTCGGAGGGACAATTGGACCAGGCGAACTGCCCCGTGCGGCCTGAAGCAGTATAGACGCACCCAGCCAACCCCATACTAAGAGCACTCTAAGAGCTGCTGAGAATTACGAATCTCAATACCTACAATGCCTAGCCTACGTTTGGATCAAGTAAGATGCCGGCCTTGCCAAAGAGCGGTCCCGCCCGGCGTAACTAGCACAAGCTGCTTGACGTAACGCAACTGCAGAACAAGTGAGGAGTCAAACCATATAGAACCTAACTATGTCAACCAATTCAAACATAATTTGCACTGATGGATAGCAGGTTTGTAGGTGCGCCAAAGTCCCGCCGACCTGCAGGCGGGGAGCCCGAAAACGGCGTGGCGAGACGGCCTCAAAGCCCGTCACCTCCAGGACATGCTTCCCTCACGCTGAGTGCCTCGCTCCCCCCCCACCCTCCCCCTGGGCCCGCTGCCAGCAGCCGGCAGCGCGCCAGGTGCGCACGCTGCAGCCGCGCCAGGTCCAGCGCGCGCCTCGCGGCTCTCTCCTGAGCGGGCTCTCGTGGGGGGCGCGCCTCTGTGCTCGTGAAAGAGGGGCGCGGGACAGGATAGCCCCGAGGCCGGAGGAGAGATCGGAGGAGAACAAAGCGCCAGCAGAACCAGCATAACCATGCGAGCTGTCGGAGGTCCGCGCGCGATCACGTGGGTCGGCGCTGGGACCCCCTTCCCCGCGCGCCCAGCTGGCGCCTCCAGCGCCGCCCCAGGCGCACTCCGCGCACCGGGGGAGGGGTGCGGGAAGGGTGCCTGCCCCGCGCCGGCCCCCCAAAAATCCACGCGAACTTTCGAAATTGATGTTTCGAGAAGGAAAAAGAGGAGCAAGTAGAAAGAGGAGAGGGAGTCAAATTGCTATGATGATCCGGATCCGCCCTCCGTCTTTTTTCCATTCAAACGGTCCCATCAGCATGGTGTTATCTCACGCGCGAGCTGTTAGAATCAAGAGCAGAGTGAGAAGAGATCGCGATGCAGATCCGCAGCCCCAATTGAAAGGGGGTGAAGGCCGATCATGTGGAATCAACCTGATGCCAGAAGACAAAAAGCACCAGCCACGAGGGGGAAGGAGGAGAAGGACAGAAGAGCGAGAAGTGAACGGATGGATGTATTAAAACGTTGTGAATGCATTCCCCCATGATCCGAACCATCATTCATATAAACGGGCCTCAAAAAACGGCAAACACGGACCGCAACGCAGCATAGTAGCACAAGGTCGGAACAGACCCCAAATTCCTGACATGCCACTCGAAATCTGACTGGGTGGTCGAAACCAGTCGATAAATTACGTGGAAGGTGACCAAGCTAAGGTACAATGCTAAGCACCGTGGGTCACCACGCAAATCTACACGACTCCGAGTTACAATACACAATGAGAAATTCAAGTGGGTACCCTGTAAAAGAGAAGCGCCGGATAGGCGCGAGGAAACTGGGCGAGAATCGCACGCCAGAAACTCGAAAACGACATAACTAATTTGGGTGCTTGCAGCATGGCCGCCAGGAGACACGCAGGCGACGGCGACTGCACGGGCCAGTAGCGGCCCCCTACGGAAGCGGCCCACCGGACCAGGCGGCCAACGGCCCACCCGCAACCTCTGAATTTATCGGGCGCCCTATGCGCCAATGGAAGAGGCGGCGGGAGACATCAAAGAAAGGAAAGGAAGGAAACAGAGTTCCAAGCCGCTTGTCCCGGCCGCGTGGCCGATACGAGGGCGCACAGCTCACCGACCGGTCTTGTCGGCCGCAGCTCGACGTCGTGCTGCTTGTCATTCCAGTCGTGCATGCCCTGTGCATGTGCAGCACAAGTCCTGAGGGCAGAAACTGGAGGCGAACAGAAACGGACCCAGGGGACGAACAGTGGACGCCCTCCATAATACACATGACAAGCCCGACGCAGAAGCCACGCCTCAGAGGACACAGTTGAGAGTCCCGAGCGTCCTGTGGCTGCACTGGCGGCTGCGACTGCGGGTGCTGGGGTGAACCGCAGCGTGCCGCTGGTAGTGCGCACGAGCGGAAGCGTCGGTGCTGGCGTCGGCGCTGGCGTAAGAGGCGCTGGCGTTCATGCTAGCGTCGGTGCTGCTGTTGGTGCTGGAGTAGGCGTTGGCATTGGCGCTGGCGCAGGCGCCAGCGGCGGTGGTGCTGGCGACGCAGCTCACGTCGGCACTGGTGAAGGCGCTGGCGCTCGTGCCGGTATAGGAGCTGGCGTGGGGGCTGTCGTCGGTGCTGCCGTCGGAGCTGGCGTTGGGGCTGTCGTCGGTGCTGGCGTCGGTGCTGCCGTCGGTGCTGGTGCGCGCGCTGGCATTGGTGCCAACGTGAACGCTGGCGCTGGCGTTGGCGACGGAACTGGCGTCGGCGCTGGGTGTAGGCAATGGCGTTGGTGGCAGCGTAGGCGCGGACGATAATGTTGCGCGGACGATAATGTTGGCGCCGGCGCTGGCGTAAACGCCGGCGTTGGTGCTGGCTTCGGTGCTGGCGTCGGTCCTGGTACAGGAGTACAGGAGCTGTCGTTGGTGCTGGCGTAGGCGCCAAAGTTGATGCTGGCGTCGGTGCTAGCGTCGGCGCTGGCGTGGGCGCAGTCGTTGGGGCAGTCGGCGGTGCTGTCGTCGATGTTGGTGTAGACGCTGGCGCTTGTGCCGGCGATAACGCTGGCGTAGGTGCTGGTGTCAGTGCTGGCGTCGGAGCAGATGTAGGCGATGGCGTTGGTGGTCGCGTAGGCGCAGTCGTTCGTGATGGCGTCGGTGCTGGCGTCGGAGCAGGCGTAGGCGCTGGCGTTGGTGCTGGCGTCAGTGCTAGCGTGCAGTGGGCGCTGGCGTCGGTGCCGGCGTAGGCGCAGGCACTGGTGTTGGCGTCAGAGCTGGAGTAGGCGCTGGCATGGGCGATGGCGTTGGTGCCCGCGTGGGCACAGGCGTTGATGCCGGCGTGGGTGCTGGCGGCGGCACTGGCATCGGCGCCAGCGTCTGTGCTGCCGTCGGTGCTGGCGTAGACGCTGGCGTTCGTGCCAGCGTAGGCGCAAGCGTTGGCGCTGGCGCGGGTGCCAGTGTAGTCGCTGGAATTGGTGCCAGCGTAGGTGCCAACGTTGGTGCTGGCATCGGTGCTGGCGTCGGCGCTGATGTATACAAGACGATGGCAATTATGTTGCCGGCGAGGGCGCAGTCGTTGGGGCAGTCGTCGGTGCTGGCGTCGGTGATGATATAGACGCTGGTGCTTGTGCCGGCGAAGACGCTGGCGTTGGTGCCAGCGTAGGCGCTGGCGATTGTGCTGGCGTCAGTGCTGGTGTCTTTACTGCGCGCCAAGCTGCATGACCAGTTGGGCATGGCCTGGGCGCGGCACCAGGCGCGGCTCTGCAATCGCATAGGCGATGACGGATTGGAGCAACCGCCCGAATTTCCGCCCCAGGCGGGCACGGAGACCTCGACATCAGCTCGGAGAACAAAAAAAGCACCACAACGTAAGACGCAACAAAAACGTCACGAATTTTGTTGCTGTGATGGTGCGATAGAGCTGACGCTGGAGTCGGTGCTGGAGTCGTAGCCGGATCTGGCGTCGGAGCGGGGGTCGGAGCGGGATACGGAGTGCCGGAATTGGCGCCAGTCTCAGTGCCTGCGACGGTGCCGCTGTAATCGATGCCGGAGTCGGTGCCAGCGATGTGCTGTAGGTATCGATGCTGGAGTCCGTGCTGGCGTGGTCAGGGTCGTGGTGCTGCTCATGCTGGACGTGGTCACGGTGGAGGTGCTGGTCTGGTTAGTGGTGCTGCCCATGCTGGACGTGGTCACGATGGAGGTGCTGGTCAAGATTGTGGTGCTGAACATGCTGGATGTGGTCATCGTGGTAGTGCTGGTCATGGTTGAGGGCTTGCTCATGCTGGATGTGGTCACGTGGAGGTGTTGGTCAAGGTTGTGGCGCTGCGCATGCTGGATGTGGCCACGGTGGAGATGCTGCTCAGTGTTGTGGTGCCACACATGTTGGACTTGCTCACGGTGGTAGCGCTGGTAATGGTGGCAGTGGTCCTGCGGGCGGGGCTGTGCCAGAGCACTGCTAGAGTAGATATCCAGAGAACCCCAAGATCGCGGAAGTGATGGTCCCCGTCGTGATGCTCAGCGAGGAACTGCTGGTCCCCGTCGCGCTGCTCGCCACACAAATGGGCGGCGCCGTCGAACTGCTGCCCCAGGCCGCGGTGCTCCGAGCGGGGCTGCCGGTCGCCAGCGTGCCGCTCATACTCGCAATGCGGATCAACTTATCATGATGATGCTGGTCGTCATGTTGCCGATGGTCGTCGTCGTGCCGCAAATCTGCTCATCGTACTGCTGCGTGTCATCGTGCTGCTGGCGGCCTAAACATCGTGCGCGTCCGTTGGGCCAGAACATCGCATGCGCCACGGCTCCGGTGCACGCGGCGGCACCCTGCCAGCGCGGCGCCAGGCGCTCGCGGAAGGCCTCGGGGATGGGCCGCAGCTCCGAGTCCACACCCGCGTCCTCTGGGCCCCCGACCTTCTCTTCAGGATTCGCGACCTCCACATCTGGACCCTCGCCCTCGTCCTCCGGATGCTCGTCCCCGTCCTCTGGCTCCACGTCCTCGTCCTCTGGGTCTGCGACGTCTCCGCCCACGTCCCCGTTTTGCTCCTCCCGGCCCCCTCGCAATACATTGCAATAGTCACGATCGTCGCGCTGACAGATGCGCCAGTGCTCGAGGTCGCGGCGCTGCGCGGGCGCGTGGTCGTCGCGCCCGCGCTCCAGTTGGAATCGGCGTTGGAGGCGGGGCCGGGGGTGGGCCCAGCGCAAGCGACGGACGGGGAAACAGAGGTGGAAGCTGAGTCAGCGACGGAGAAGGAGTCGGAGTTGGAGCGAAGGTAAGCGTGGTCGACAGCGTCGGCTGTGGAGGCTGAAGCGGTGGTGGTAGCAGGAGTGGTGCCAGCGCAGGCGCGGGCGATGGAACTGGCGTCGGTGCCGGTGCTGGGTGCGACGCGCCGGCGTCCACCCAACGGGCGCGGCATGCAGGCACCTTGCGCCGCAGCCTCTGGCTGGGGTCGGAGCAGCACCAAGAAGTCGAAGATAAAGTCGACGCCGTAGTTGGTGCTGGAACCGGTGGGGTCGGAGCTGGAGTAGGCGTCGGAAGAGGCGTCGGAACCGAGGTCGGAGTCGGCGCTGGTATCCGCGTGCTCTCCGCGGCAGCCGCGGTGCTGTTTATGGTACCCGTCGTTCTGCGCGTGATTCTCGTCGTCTTCGGAAGCGCGGGCAGAGCAGTCAGCGCGGCGCCCTGGCATCGTCGGCGGACTCGGTGCGCAGTGCTCTGCTGGAAAGGCCGCTGCTCGCCGCCGGCCAGCTCGCTCTCCTATGCCAGCGGGGCAAGCCCAGCGCGCTGATAATGAAGAACTGCGTCCTCCAGCTGCAAAGCGAACGCCCGCTGGGACCAACGCGCCCGCGTCCCGCTCCTCACCGCGTGCCGAACATTTGCCAGCCAGTGGCGAAGCTCGCGCGTGCGCAGCTCTGCGCGAAGCCCGGTC